ACATACACTGTCACGGGGACAACTTGACCATCATTTGAGAATACAGCTACTGCTAATCTCAGTTACGAATTGATCTGTTTACAACATTGACATTGATATATTTATCCCTTGTGATGGAATATTCAATACAGTCGAGCAGGATATGCTTGACCGTGATTCTTTCATCACAAGGGGATACAAAACGGAGGATCTTCGCCTTTCAGTAAATATTCATGAGGTAAATATTCGTCAACAGGTATAGACGTTGTCAAATCATTTACGGTCATGAGAGGTATGAACTCAAAACTCATACAAACGATTAACTTATCATAAATGTACAAGCTCATAAACCATTATAATCGTATTCCCTGAGTGAGTGAGTGAGTGAGTGCGTGAGATGGTTCCATCTCCGGTATATCGTATTTCAGATATAATATCAACGTGGGAACAAAGTGTCAAAGTGACGACGGTCGTACAGATATACTACTTCGATGAAACACACAAACATTGGACGTATTATGACGAGTCAAACTTCCTAATCGGTGTGAGACTATTCAAACCAATGTCAAACAGTCCCTGCAAGTAGAAGAAAGTTATAGTTGTCATTTTAAACCTTGTGCATATATATGTGACAGTCAGATTGTGAAATCAGTCATTTCGCGAAATGGCTGACCCTCTGACCCTGACAAATACATAATAAATATATACACCAACATATACACATTTATGCGCGCGCGCGCACGCACGCATACACACAGACACACGCACTCCCATCATGCAAAAAAATGACATAATACACATCTGGTCCATCACTTAACCATAGACCCGTGAATTAGAATTGACGTTCAGTAACCCATGCCTGTCGTTAAAAGGCGACTAACGGGATCGGGTGACTTAGTTGACACACGTCATCGTATCCCAATCTAGTAGATTGATGCTCATGCTGTTGATCACTTGATTATCTGGTCCAGAATCGATTATTTACAGACCGACACCTTATAGCTGGAATATTGCTGAGTGCGGTGTAAAACTAAACTCACTCATTCACTTACTTGGCCAAAATACAAAAGATGCCATATAAACAACAACCGCATAGTTCATTGCTGTACACACATTTATATTGATGCAATGTTAGTTGGAGTGAGTGAGATTAGTCTGACGCCGTTCTTAGCAATATTCCAACAATACCACGGCGGCAATGAAAGATGGAGGCAACATACATTAGGTAACATCATATCCAAAGAGACATACAACCTATACAAGTTCAAGTACAAGAATACGCACTCCTACAATGTGATACAATTCTGTTTACAACTCAAAACAATGCTGTATAGACAACGATTATACAACACAACGTTATACAGACAACGATTATACAACACAACGTTAGATAGACAACGATTATACAACGCAACGATTATACAACACGTTATATAGACAACGATTATACAACACAACGTTATATAGACAACGATTATACAACACAACGTTATACAGACAACGATTATACAACACAACGTTATATAGACAACGATTATACAACACAACGTTATATAGACAACGATTATACAACACAACGTTATATAGACAACGATCAACAACACAACGTTATACAGACAACGATTATACAACACAACGTTATATAGACAACGATTATACAACGCAACGTTATACAGACAACGATTATACAACGTAACGTTATGTAAACAACGAATATACAACACAACGTTATATAGACAACGATTATACAACGTAACGTTATACAGACAACGATTATACAACACAACGTTATACAGACAACGACTCAACCACTGCAACGCAGTGCACAGCTATATACAACTTTACAATGCTACACACAAATATATACACCTTTACAAAACTATACAATGATGTAAACATCGATACAACACTATACAATGATATATATTCATCATTCTAAGATGCTTTCGTGAAAGATCAAAGGCGCCGACAGTACTTTATGAGACGATAATGTGCACTTTTTGCAGTACGTCACAATGAATTAGCGTCACTGCACCAATCTAGTCTGCCTCCTCGTAATCAAACTCTTTTGCATTACGTCACAATGTAACTGACGTCACGATGCATGTTAGTTGCCATCGCCTCGTACAGCCTCCTATGTAAGTATACTACATACTATTCCGTTGCATCCCGTTTCTTGGTTTGCAGTTGCTTCACGCAGCTAATATCACTGGTGGAAACATTACGTTTATGTTTTCTGACGGTTAAAATATCTCGATTCGACTTACAAGTTTTCACCGACACGGTAACGTTCGCAATGTTTACATTCCCACAATGCAATCGTGGAATGTCGCTTTACTACTCAGCTTCATCTGGATGTACTGATCTAAACTTACACTGGTAGTAGAAATGCGACGTTCATATTGCGCCATATGGTTTACGTTAATCACAGATGTAATTAAAATAATTTAGAGAAGATATTTAATCCGAACGTAAACTGTGATCAAACTGTTTATCATATTTTTTTTCTGGTAACGTTCGTCCAAACGTAGGGTGGCAGACACGTCAATAGAACAGCGCGTTAGTTAGCCCTGTGCGCGAATTCTTAATTTAGATCACCGACACTGTCGTTTGGTTTCTGCCTTATATTCATCGTAATTATCCTTAGAAAGTATTAAATTTGGCATCTTAGAAAAGAAATACAGTTCGCTCTATCACCATATATAGTGTAATAGAGCACACTATCGCCCTGAACTCTCATAGTTGAAGCAGGAGGACGCTTTATTACGCTATACATGGTGGTAGAGCGAACTGTATTTCTTAAATACAATACAAAACAATGTTGTAGACACTACAACGCAGTACACAGCAATATACACCTTTATAACACATTAATGTTTTAAAAAAAATTACACCCGTGAAGATCCAGGTTAGAATTGATCTTCAGTAACCCATGCTTGTCGTAAGAGGCGACTAACGGGATCGGGTGGTCAAGTTTGCTGATTTGGTTAACACATGTCATTGTATCCCAGTTGCGTAGATCGATGCTCATGCTGGTGAGTACATGATTGTCTGGTCCATACCCGATTATTTATAGACCGCCGCCATAAAGCTGGAATATTGTTGAGTGCGGCGTAAAACTAACCTCACCCACTCACATACACATCTTTTCAACCTTATACAATGACATATACAACTTGGCAACACTATACAACGATATGTCCATCAATACAACACAAAACAATGCTGTATACACTAACAACACAGTACACAGCTATATACACCTTTACCACACTATACAATGATATATACACTTTTCAACACTATACAATGATATATACACCTTTCAACACTATACAATGATATATACACCTTTCAACACTATACAACGATATGTTCATCAATACAACACAAAACATTGTTGTATACACTAACAACGCAGTACACAGCTATATACACCTTTACAATACTATACAATGATATATACACCTTTCAACACTATACTATGATATGTACACCTTGCCAACACTATACTATGATATATACAACTTGCCAACACTATACAACGATATGTTCATCAATACAACACAAAACAAGTTGTCTACACTAACAACGCAGTAAACAGCTATATACACCTTTACAATACTATACAATGATATATACACCTTTCAACACTATACTATGATATATACACCTTGTCAACACTATACAACGATATGTTCATCAATACAACACAAAACAATGTTGTATACACTACAACGCAGTACACTGCTATATACACCCTTACAACACTATACAATGATATATACACCTTTCAACACTATACTATGATATATACACCTTACCAACACTATACAACGATATGTTCACCAATACAACACAAAACAATGTTGTCTACACCACAACCCAGTACACAGCTATATATACCTTTACACCTGCGCCCTCAGACACAAGGCGATGATAAACGTCATAGTGTTTTGTTTCTAATGCTTTCATAATCGGTGTTTGGTAGTTTGTTTTGATACACGTCCCCGTCTGTTGATGTCACATGTTTTCATGGATAGAATGTGTTTCACAATATGTTACCTTCTTCACATGCCACCATCAGACAGTCATTGTTTCTAGTTTTAGTGTGGGTCAGATCGGCACCATCAGATACTAGGAGATGATAAACATATTAATATACTTAGTTCCAAAGGAAACGCGACAAGTCCATTTGAAATAAGAACTGTTATCCCACATTCATGTTTCCTGCCACTATATGCTTTACACAGAACGCTCCAAAGAAAGCTAAAAGACAACAGCAACGACAGTGGATTTAAGATCTGATGAAGTTTTCATATTGTGTCCAACCTGAAGAGTCTGCATTAGACACGTTTAGAAGCTTAAGCTGATATTCGATGTCACCAGTACCTGGTATGACCACCATTATTGTTTATCTTGCCTGTGTGACGTCATTCGTGGCCTGCCATCTCTATGGCCGACAAGTGGGTATGATTGCCGATGGTTTTGGAGAAAGTGCCTGCTTACTGTCGAGGAAACGATTTGTAGATGTTGCAATAAGTTTTTAGACACGTGGAATGCCGCTGCCAATCGAATCTAGCCCTACATCGGTGCTGTCAACGTGGCTGGAATTATTAAACGAATTTAAAAAGTGAGTTTTCGCTGTCTTGGGTGATCCATGATTTTGGCTTGGAATTGCGGAGGTAGCTGTTTTTGGTGAGTCGTGGCGTATGACTTTTGACATAATGATCTGATTGTGACCATTTATAGCACATTTTGTTGGAAAATCATCTCGCGTTCGATCCGTAGGCCTCGACGGGGCCTTAAAAATAGTTTACGTGGTGAAATCTAATTTTGGTTGAGGAAGGGGTGGTCCCGTCGTTACATCGCTTTCCTTTTATATAGTACTAGGGTAGGGTCTATGTACCTATATGTCTTTCTAAAGCTGTTTCTAAGCGTGACACGCCCCTGTGAATGCCATCACAATTGGCGTTTTTTCTGCGAATCCTCCCCGTCTGTTGATGTCACATGTATTCATGGATAGGATGTGTTTCAAAAGAGATATGTTACCTCCTTCACATGCTAACATCAGGCAGTATCTGTTGTCTTCATCAGTAGTGGTAAGATCTGCACCCACACATACAAGGAGATCATACATCATAGAGTCCTCTTTCTAATGCCATCACAATTAGTGTTTGTTTTGACACTCCTCCCCGTCTGTTGATGTCACATGTTTTCCTGGATAGGATGTGTTTCACAATAGATATGTTACCTCCTTCACATGCCACCATCAGTCAATCAGTGTTGTTTGTATCAATAGTGGTCAGATCTGCACCCTCAGATACAAGGAGATGATACACATCATATCGTCCTCTTTCTAATGCCGTCATAATTGGTGTGTTTTCAGCGAATCCTCCTCTGCTGTTGATGTCACATATTTTCATGGATAGGATGTGTTTCACAATAGATATGTTACCTCCTTCACGTGCCAACATCAGGCAGTCTCTGTTGTCTTCATCAGTAGTGGTCAGATCTGCACCCTCACATACAAGGAGATGATACACATCATAGTGTCCACTTTCTAATGCCATCACAATTGGTGTTTTTTATGCGAATCCTCCTCGTCTGTTGATGTCACATGTTTTCATGGATAGGATGTGTTTCACAATAGATATGTTACCTTCTTTACATGCCAACATCAGGCAGTCAGTGTTGTTTTCATCAGTAATTGTCAGATCAGAACCCTCAGATACAAGGAGATGTGAACATCATAGTGTCGTCTCTTTAATGCCATCATTATCGATGTTTGTTTTGACTTTCCTCCCCGTCTGTTGATGTCACATGTTTTCCTGGATAGGATGTGTTTCACATTAGATATGTTACCTCCTTCACATGCCACCATCAGACAGTCTCTGTTGTCTTCATCAGTAATGGTCAGATCTGCAGGATCAGATACAAGGAGATGATACACATTATAGTGTCGTCTCTCTAATGCCTTCACAATTGGTGTTTGTTATGAAAATCCTCTCCGTCTGTTGAGGTCAAATGCTTTCATTGATAGGATGTTTTTCACAATAGACATCTTACCTCCTTGACATGCCAACATCAATCAGTCAGTGTTGTTTTCATCTGTAATTGTCAGATCAGCACCCTCAGTTACCAGGAGATGATACACATCATAGTGTCGTCTCTGTAATGCCATCAATATCGGTGTTTGTTTTGACTTTCCTCCCCTTCTGTTGATGTCACATGCCTCCATGGATAGGATGTGTTTCACAATAGATATGTTACCTCCATCCCATACCAACATCAAACAGTCTCTGTTGTCTTCATCAGTTATGGTCAGATCTGCGCCCTCAGATACAAGTAGATGATACACACCATAGTGTCGAGTCTCTTATGCCATCATTATCGGTGTTTGTTTTGACTTTCCTCCTCGTGTGTTGATGTCACATGTTTTCCTGGATAGGAAGTGTTTCACAATAGATATGTTACCTTCTTTACATGCCAACATCAGGTAGTCAGTGTTGTTTTCATCAGTAATTGTCAGATCAGCACCCTCAGATACAAGGCGATGATACACATCATAGTGTCCTCTTTCTAATGCCATCACAATTGGTGTTTTTTATACGAATCCTCCTCGTCTGTTGATGTCACATGTTTTCCTGGATAGGATGTGTTTCATAATAGATATGTTACCTCCTTCACATGCCGACATCAGGCAGTCTCTGTTGTCTTCATCAGTAATTGTCAGATCAGCACCCTCAGATACAAGGAGATGATACACATCATAGTGTCGTTTCTTTAATGCCATCATTATCGGTGTTTGTTTTGACTCTCCTCCCTGTCTGTTGATGTCACATGTTTTCATGGATAGGATGTGTTTTACAATAGATATGTTACCTCCTTCACATGCCACCATCAGGCAGTCAGTGTTGTTTGTATCAGTAGTGGTCAGATCAGCACCCTCAGATACAAGGAGATGATAAACATCATAGTGTCGTCTCTTTAATGCCATCATTATCGGTGTTTGTTTTGACTCTCCTCCCCGTCTGTTGATGTCACATGTTTTCCTGGATAGGATGTGTTTCACAATAGATATGTTACCTCCTTCACATGCCAACATCAGGCAGTTAGTGTTGGTTTCATCAGGAACTGTCCGATCAGCACCCTCAGTTACCAGGACATGATACACATCAGAGTGTCGTCTCTGTAATGCCATAATTATCGGTGTTGTTTTGACACTCCTCCCCGTCTGTTGCTGTCACATGTTTTCCTGGATAGGAAGTGTTTCACAATAGATATGTTACCTCCTTCACATGCCAACATCAAACAGTCTGTGTTGTCTTCATCAGTTATGGTCAGATCTGCGCCCTGAGATACAAGGAGATGATACACACCATAGAGTAGTGTCTCTACTGCCATCATTATCGGTGTTTGTTTTGACTTTCCTCCCCGTCTGTTTATGTCACATGTTTTCCTGGATAGGATGTGTTTCACATTAGATATGTTACCTCTCCTTCACATGCCACCATCAGACAGTCTCTGTTGTCGTCATCAGTAATGGTCAGATCTGCAGGATCAGATACAAGGAGATGATACACATTATAGTGTCGTCTCTCTAATGCCATCACAATTGGTGTTTCTTATGAAAATCCTCTCCGTCTGTTGATGTCAAATGCTTTCATGGATAGGATGTTTTTCACAATAGACATCTTACCTCCTTGACATGCCAACATCAAGCAGTCAGTGTTGTTTTCATCTGTAATTGTCAGATCAGAACCCTCAGTTACCAGGAGATGATACACATCATAGTGTCGTCTCTGTAATGCCATCATTATCGGTGTTTGTTTTGACTTTCCTCCCCGTCTGTTGATGTCACATGCTTTCCTGGATAGGATGTGTTTCACAATAGATATGTTACCTCCATCCCATGCCAACATCAAACAGTCTCTGTTGTCTTCATCAGTTATGGTCAGATCTGCGCCCTGAGATACAAGTAGATGATACACACCATAGTGTCGTGTCTCTTATGCCATCATTATCGGTGTTTGTTTTGACTCTCCTCCTCGTCTGTTGATGTCACATGTTTTCATGGATAGGATGTGTTAAACCATAGATATGTTACCTCCTTCACATGCCAACTTTGGGCGGTCAGTATTGTTTTCATCAGTAACTGTCAGATCAGAACCCTCAGATACAAGGAGATGATACACATCATAGTGTCGTCTCTGTAATGCCATCATTATCGGTGTTTGTTTTGACTCTCCTCCCCGTCTGTTCATGTCATATGTTTTCATGGATAGGATGTGTTTCACAATAGATATGTTACCTCCTTCACATGCCAACATCAGGCAGTCAGTGTTGTTTTCATCAGTAATTGTCAGATCAGAACCCTCAGATACAAGGAGATGATACACATCATAGTGTCGTCTCTTTAATGCCATCATTATCGGTGTTTGTTTTGACTTTCCTCCCCGTCTGTTCATGTCACATGTTTTCATGGATAGGATGTGTTTCACAATAGATATGTTACCTCCTTCACAAGCCAACATGAGGCAGTCAGTGTTGTTTTCATCAGTAATTGTCAGATCAGCACCCTCAGATACAAGGAGATGATACACATCATAGTGTCGTCTCTTTAATGCCATCATTATCGGTGTTTGTTTTGACTCTCCTCCCTGTCTGTTGATGTCACATGTTTTCATGGATAGGATGTGTTTTACAATAGATATGTTACCTCCTTCACATGCCACCATCAGGCAGTCAGTGTTGTTTGTATCAGTAGTGGTCAGATCAGCACCCTCAGATACAAGGAGATGATAAACATCATAGTGTCGTCTCTTTAATGCCATCATTATCGGTGTTTGTTTTGACTCTCCTCCCCGTCTGTTGATGTCACATGTTTTCCTGGATAGGATGTGTTTCACAATAGATATGTTACCTCCTTCACATGCCAACATCAGGCAGTTAGTGTTGGTTTCATCAGGAACTGTCCGATCAGCACCCTCAGTTACCAGGACATGATACACATCAGAGTGTCGTCTCTGTAATGCCATAATTATCGGTGTTGTTTTGACACTCCTCCCCGTCTGTTGCTGTCACATGTTTTCCTGGATAGGAAGTGTTTCACAATAGATATGTTACCTCCTTCACATGCCAACATCAAACAGTCTGTGTTGTCTTCATCAGTTATGGTCAGATCTGCGCCCTGAGATACAAGGAGATGATACACACCATAGAGTAGTGTCTCTACTGCCATCATTATCGGTGTTTGTTTTGACTTTCCTCCCCGTCTGTTTATGTCACATGTTTTCCTGGATAGGATGTGTTTCACATTAGATATGTTACCTCCTTCACATGCCACCATCAGACAGTCTCTGTTGTCGTCATCAGTAATGGTCAGATCTGCAGGATCAGATACAAGGAGATGATACACATTATAGTGTCGTCTCTAATGCCATCACAATTGGTGTTTCTTATGAAAATCCTTCCGTCTGTTGATGTCAAATGCTTTCATGGATAGGATGTTTTTCACAATAGACATCTTACCTCCTTGACATGCCAACATCAAGCAGTCAGTGTTGTTTTCATCTGTAATTGTCAGATCAGAACCCTCAGTTACCAGGAGATGATACACATCATAGTGTCGTCTCTGTAATGCCATCATTATCGGTGTTTGTTTTGACTTTCCTCCCCGTCTGTTGATGTCACATGCTTTCCTGGATAGGATGTGTTTCACAATAGATATGTTACCTCCATCCCATGCCAACATCAAACAGTCTCTGTTGTCTTCATCAGTTATGGTCAGATCTGCGCCCTGAGATACAAGTAGATGATACACACCATAGTGTCGTGTCTCTTATGCCATCATTATCGGTGTTTGTTTTGACTCTCCTCCTCGTCTGTTGATGTCACATGTTTTCATGGATAGGATGTGTTAAACCATAGATATGTTACCTCCTTCACATGCCAACTTTGGGCGGTCAGTATTGTTTTCATCAGTAACTGTCAGATCAGAACCCTCAGATACAAGGAGATGATACACATCATAGTGTCGTCTCTGTAATGCCATCATTATCGGTGTTTGTTTTGACTCTCCTCCCCGTCTGTTCATGTCATATGTTTTCATGGATAGGATGTGTTTCACAATAGATATGTTACCTCCTTCACATGCCAACATCAGGCAGTCAGTGTTGTTTTCATCAGTAATTGTCAGATCAGAACCCTCAGATACAAGGAGATGATACACATCATAGTGTCGTCTCTTTAATGCCATCATTATCGGTGTTTGTTTTGACTTTCCTCCCGTCTGTTCATGTCACATGTTTTCATGGATAGGATGTGTTTCACAATAGATATGTTACCTCCTTCACAAGCCAACATGAGGCAGTCAGTGTTGTTTTCATCAGTAATTGTCAGATCAGCACCCTCAGATACAAGGAGATGATACACATCATAGTGTCGTCTCTTTAATGCCATCATTATCGGTGTTTGTTTTGACTCTCCTCCCTGTCTGTTGATGTCACATGTTTTCATGGATAGGATGTGTTTTACAATAGATATGTTACCTCCTTCACATGCCACCATCAGGCAGTCAGTGTTGTTTGTATCAGTAGTGGTCAGATCAGCACCCTCAGATACAAGGAGATGATAAACATCATAGTGTCGTCTCTTTAATGCCATCATTATCGGTGTTTGTTTTGACTCTCCTCCCCGTCTGTTGATGTCACATGTTTTCCTGGATAGGATGTGTTTCACAATAGATATGTTACCTCCTTCACATGCCAACATCAGGCAGTTAGTGTTGGTTTCATCAGGAACTGTCCGATCAGCACCCTCAGTTACCAGGACATGATACACATCAGAGTGTCGTCTCTGTAATGCCATAATTATCGGTGTTGTTTTGACACTCCTCCCCGTCTGTTGCTGTCACATGTTTTCCTGGATAGGAAGTGTTTCACAATAGATATGTTACCTCCTTCACATGCCAACATCAAACAGTCTGTGTTGTCTTCATCAGTTATGGTCAGATCTGCGCCCTGAGATACAAGGAGATGATACACACCATAGAGTAGTGTCTCTACTGCCATCATTATCGGTGTTTGTTTTGACTTTCCTCCCCGTCTGTTTATGTCACATGTTTTCCTGGATAGGATGTGTTTCACATTAGATATGTTACCTCCTTCACATGCCACCATCAGACAGTCTCTGTTGTCGTCATCAGTAATGGTCAGATCTGCAGGATCAGATACAAGGAGATGATACACATTATAGTGTCGTCTCTCTAATGCCATCACAATTGGTGTTTCTTATGAAAATCCTCTCCGTCTGTTGATGTCAAATGCTTTCATGGATAGGATGTTTTTCACAATAGACATCTTACCTCCTTGACATGCCAACATCAAGCAGTCAGTGTTGTTTTCATCTGTAATTGTCAGATCAGAACCCTCAGTTACCAGGAGATGATACACATCATAGTGTCGTCTCTGTAATGCCATCATTATCGGTGTTTGTTTTGACTTTCCTCCCCGTCTGTTGATGTCACATGCTTTCCTGGATAGGATGTGTTTCACAATAGATATGTTACCTCCATCCCATGCCAACATCAAACAGTCTCTGTTGTCTTCATCAGTTATGGTCAGATCTGCGCCCTGAGATACAAGTAGATGATACACACCATAGTGTCGTGTCTCTTATGCCATCATTATCGGTGTTTGTTTTGACTCTCCTCCTCGTCTGTTGATGTCACATGTTTTCATGGATAGGATGTGTTAAACCATAGATATGTTACCTCCTTCACATGCCAACTTTGGGCGGTCAGTATTGTTTTCATCAGTAACTGTCAGATCAGAACCCTCAGATACAAGGAGATGATACACATCATAGTGTCGTCTCTGTAATGCCATCATTATCGGTGTTTGTTTTGACTCTCCTCCCCGTCTGTTCATGTCATATGTTTTCATGGATAGGATGTGTTTCACAATAGATATGTTACCTCCTTCACATGCCAACATCAGGCAGTCAGTGTTGTTTTCATCAGTAATTGTCAGATCAGAACCCTCAGATACAAGGAGATGATACACATCATAGTGTCGTCTCTTTAATGCCATCATTATCGGTGTTTGTTTTGACTTTCCTCCCCGTCTGTTCATGTCACATGTTTTCATGGATAGGATGTGTTTCACAATAGATATGTTACCTCCTTCACAAGCCAACATGAGGCAGTCAGTGTTGTTTTCATCAGTAATTGTCAGATCAGCACCCTCAGATACAAGGAGATGATACACATCATAGTGTCGTCTCTTTAATGCCATCATTATCGGTGTTTGTTTTGACTCTCCTCCCTGTCTGTTGATGTCACATGTTTTCATGGATAGGATGTGTTTTACAATAGATATGTTACCTCCTTCACATGCCACCATCAGGCAGTCAGTGTTGTTTGTATCAGTAGTGGTCAGATCAGCACCCTCAGATACAAGGAGATGATAAACATCATAGTGTCGTCTCTTTAATGCCATCATTATCGGTGTTTGTTTTGACTCTCCTCCCCGTCTGTTGATGTCACATGTTTTCCTGGATAGGATGTGTTTCACAATAGATATGTTACCTCCTTCACATGCCAACATCAGAGAGTCTCTGTTGTCGTCATCAGTAATTGTCAGATCTGCGCTCTCAGATACAAGGAGATGATACACACCATAATGTCGTCTTTTTAATGCCATCATAATTGGTGTTTCTTGCGAAAGTCCTCTTCGTCTGTTGATGTCAAATGCTTTCATGGATAGGATGTTTTTCACAATAGATATGTTACCTCCTTCACATGCCAACATCAAGCAGTCAGTGTTGTTTTCATCTGTAATTGTCAGATCAGCACCCTCAGTTACCAGGAGATGATACACATCATAGTGTCGTCTCAGTAATGCCATCATTATCGGTGTTTGTTTTGACTTTCCTCCCCGTCTGTTCATGTCACATGCTTTCATGGATAGGATGTGTTTCACAATAGATATGCTACCTCCTTCGCATGCCACCATCAGACAGTCTGTGTTGTCTTCATCAGTTATGGTCAGATCTGCGCCCTGAGATATAAGGAGGTGATACACATCATAGTGTCGAGTCTCTAATGCCATCATTATCGGTGTTTGTTTTGACTTTCCTCCTCGTCCGTTGATGTCACATGTTTTCAAGGATAGGATGTGTTTCACAATAGATATGTTACCTCTTTTACATGCCAACATCAGGCAGTCAGTGTTGTTTTCATCAGTAATTGTCAGATCAGCACCCTCAGATACAAGGAGATGATACACATCATAGTGTCCTCTCTCTAATGCCATCATTATCGGTGTTTGTTTTGACTCTCCTCCCCGTCTGTTGATGTCACATGTTTTCCTGGATAGGATGTGTTTCACAATAGATATGTTACCTCCTTCACATGCCACCATCAAGCAGTCAGTGTTGTATATGTCAGTAGTGGTCAGATCAGCACCCTCAGATACAAGGAGATGATACACATCATAGTGTCGTCTCTGTAATGCCATCATTATCGGTGTTTGTTTTGACTCTCCTCCTCGTCTGTTGATGTCACATGTTTTCATGGATAGGATGTGTTTCACAATAGATATGTTACCTCTTTCACATGCCAACATCAGACAGTCTCTGTTATCGTCATCAGTAACGATGAGATCTGCGCCCTGAGATACAAGGAGATAATACACACCATAGCGTCGTGTCTCTAATGCCATCATTATCGGTGTTTGTTTTGACTTTCCTCCCCGTCTGTTGATGTCACATGTTTTCATGGATAGGATGTGTTTCACAATAGATATGTTACCTCCTTTACATGCCAACATCAGACAGTCAGTGTTGTTTTCATCTGTAATTCTCGGATCAGCACACTCAGATAAAAGGAGATGATACACATCATAGTGTCGTCTCAGTAATGCCATCATTATCGGTGTTTGTTTTGACTCTCCTCCTCGTCTGTTGATGTCACATGTTTTCATGGATAGGATGTTCTTCACAATAGATATGTTACCTCCTTCACATGCGACCATGAGGAAGTCTCTGTTGTCGTCATCAGTACTGGTAAGATCTGCACCCTCAGATACAAGGAGATGATACACATTATAGTGTCCTCTCTCTAATGCCATCATAATTGGTGTTTTTTGTGAAAATCCTCCTCGTCTGTTGATGTCACATGTTTTCATGGATAGGATGTGTTTCACAATAGATATGTTACCTCCTTCACATGCCACCATCAGACAGTCTCTGTTGTTTTCATCAGTAATTGTCAGATCTGCACCCTCAGATACAAGGAGATGATACACATTATAGTGTCCTCTCTCTAATGCCATCATAATTGGTGTTTTTTGTGAAAATCCTCCCCGTCTGTTGATGTCAAATGCTTTCAAGGTTAGGATGTGTTTCACAATAGATATGTAACCTCCTTCACATGCCACCATCAGACAGTCTCTGTTGTCTTCATCAGTAATTGTCAGATCAGCACCCTCAGATACAAGGAGATGATACACTTCATATTGTCGTCTCTGTAATGCCATCATTATCGGTGTTTGTTTTGACTTTCCTCCCCGTCTGTTGATGTCACATGTTTTCATGGATAGGATGTGTTTCACAATAGATATGTTACCTCCTTCACATGCCAACATCAGGCAGTCAGTGTTGTTTACATCAGTAATTGTCAGATCTGCACCCTCGGATACAAGGAGATGATACACATCATAGTGTCGTCTCTGTAATGCCATCATTATCGGTGTTTGTTTTGACTCTCCTCCCCGTCTGTTGATGTCACATGTTTCCATCGATAGGAAGTGTTTTAAAACAGATATGTTACCTCCTTGACATGCCAACATCAGACAGTCTGTGTTGTCTTCATCAGTAATTGTCAGATCTGCGCCCTCAGATACAAGGAGATGATACACACCATAGTGTCGTGTCTCTAAAGCCATCATTATCGGTGTTTGTTTTGACTTTCCTCCCCGTCTGTTGATGTCACATGTTTTCATGGATAGGATGTGTTTCACAATAGATATGTTACCTCCTTTACATGCCAACATCAGGCAGTCAGTGTTGTTTTCATCAGTAATTGTCAGATCAGAACCCTCAGATACAAGGAGATGATACACATCATAGTGTCCTCTCTCTAATGCCATCATTATCGGTGTTTGTTTTGACTTTCCTCCACGTCTGTTGATGCCACATGTTTTCATGGATAGGATGTGTTTCACAATAGATATGTTACCTCCTTCACATGCCAACATCAGGCAGTCAGTGTTGTTTACATCAGTAATTGTTAGATCAACACCCTCAGAGACAAGGAGATGATACACATCATAGTGTCGTCTCAGTAATGCCAACATTATCGGTGTTTGTTTTGACGTTCCTCCCTGTCTGTTGATGTCACATGTTTTCCTGGATAGGATGTGTTTCACAATAGATATGTTACCTTTATCACATGCCAACATCAGGCAGTCTCTGTTGTATGCATCTGTAATGGTCAGATCTGCACCCTCAGTTACCAGGAGATGATACACATCATAGTGTCGTCTCTCTAATGCCATCAATATCGGTGTTTGTTTTGACTCTCCTCCCCGTCTGTTGATGTCACATGTTTTCATTGATAGGATGTGTTTCACAATAGATATGTTACCTCCTTCACATGCCAACATCAGACAGTCAGTGTTGTGTTCATCAGTAATGGTTAGATCTGCACCCTCAGATACAAGGAGATGATACACATCATAGTGTCCACTTTCTAATGCAGTCATAATTGGTGTTTTTTCTGCGAATCCTCCCCTTCTGTTGATGTCACATGTTTTCATTGATAGGATGTGTTTCACAATAGATATGTTACCTTCTTCACATGCCAACATCAGGCAGTCTCTGTTGTCTTTATCAGTAATGGTCAGATCTGCACCCTCAGATACAAGGAGATGATACACATCATAGTGGTCTCTCTCTAATGCCATCATAATTGGTGTTTGTTCTGCGAATCCTCCCCGTCTGTTGATGTCACATGTTTTCCTGGATAGGATGTGTTTCACAATAGATATGTTACCTCCTTCACATGCCAACATCAGGCAGTCTCTATTAGATGCAGTAGTAATTGTTAGATCTGCGCCCTCAGATACAAGGAGATGATACACATTATAGTGTCCTCTGTCTAATGCCATCATAATTGGTGTTTCTTGTGAAAATCCTCTCCGTCTGTTGAGGTCAAATGCTTTCATGGATAGGATGTGTTTCACAATAGATATGTTACCTCCTTCACATGCCAACATCAGGCAGTCAGTGTTGAATGCATCAGTAATGGTTAGATCAGCACCCTCAGATACAAGGACATGATACACATTATAGTGTTCTCTCTCTAATGCCATCATAATTGGTGTTTTTTCTGCGAATCCTCCCCGTCTGTTGATGTCACATGTTTTCATGGATAGGATGTGTTTCACAATAGATATGTTACCTACTTGACATGCCACCATCAGGCAGTCTCTGTTGTCTTCATCTTTAATGGTCAGATCTGCTCCCTCAGATACAAGGAGATGATACACATCATAGTCTCGATTGTCTAATGCCATCATAATTGGTGTTTGGTTTGACGTTCCTCCTCGTCTGTTGATATCAAATGTTTTCATTGATAGGATGTGTTTCACAATAGATATGTTACCTTTATCACATGCCAACATCAAGCCGTCTCTGTTGTATGCATCAGTAATGGTCAGATCTGCACCCTCAGATACAAGGAGATGATACACATCATAGTATCCTCTCTCTAATGCCATCATAATTGGTGTTTTTTTTGCGAATCCTCCCCGTCTGTTGATGTCACATGTTTTCATTGATAGGATGTGTTTCACAATAGATATGTTACCTCCTTCACATGCCAACATCAGGCAGTCATTGCTGAATGCATCAGTAATTTTCAGATCAGCATCCTCAGATACAAGGAAATGATACACATCATAGTGTCCCCTTTTTATTGCCATCATTATCGGCGTTTCTTTTGACTTTCCTCCCCGTGTGTTGATGTCACATGTTTTCATTGATAGGATGTGTTTCACAATATATATGTCACCTTTATCACATGCCAACATCAGGCAGTCATTGTTGTATGAATCAGTAATTTTCAGATCAGCACCCTCAGATACAAGGAGATGATACACACCATAGTGTCGTCTCTTTAATGCCATCATTATCGGTGTTTGTTTTGACGTTCCTCCCCGTCTGTTGATGTCACATGTTTTCCTGGAAAGGATGTGTTTCACAATGGATATGTCACCTCCTTCACATGCCAACATGAGGCAGTCAGTATTGTATGCATCAGTAATTGTCAGATCTGCACCCTCAGATTCAAGGAGATGATACACATCATAGTGTCGTCTCTGTATTGCCATCATTATCGGTGTTTGTTTTGATTCTCCTCCTCGTCTGTTGATGTCACGTGTTTTCAAGGATAGGATGTGTTTCACAATAGATATATTACCTTCTTCACATGCCAACATCAGGGCGTCTCTGTTGAATGCATCAGTTATGGTCAGATCTGCGCCCTCAGATACAAGGAGATAATACACACCAAAGTGTCGTTTCTCTAATGCCATCATAATTGGTGTTTCTTGTGAAAATCCTCCCCGTCTGTTGATGTCAAATGCTTTCATGGATAGGATGTGTTTCACAATAGATATGTTACCTCCTTCACATGCCAACATCAGGCAGTCAGTGTTGTATGCATCAGTAATGGTTAGATCAGCACCCTCAGACAGTAGACGAAGATAAACATCTTCATGTCCTCCTTTTGCTGCAAACATAACTGCTGTTTGACTCAATGATTTTTCCTTCTTGTTCACATCGAATAGCTTCAGTGAAATTAAGAAGTTCACAGTTGAAAGATTACCATTTTCACTCGAAAAATGCAAACAGTCTTTCCCGCCTGTTACTGTTAAATCGGCTCCTTTTTGTTTTAGGAACTTTAGAATATCAAGCTGACCTCTTTTGGTGCAAATCATTGCAGGCGTTAAATTATCAAAACCCATAAAATTAATCAAGGCAGGGCATGTTTCAACCACCTTTGTTGTCAACGCCATGCTTCCTGATTCACATGCATAATGCAAACAGGTGTTTCCTTTCCTGTCCGTCACTGAAATATCAGCACCTTTCCGTATGAGAAAGTTGAACACCTTAGGATTTCGAGACTTTGCAGCAATGAGGAGGAGGGTTGTCCCGTCGATGGCATATTCAACATCAAATCCTCCACGTTTACACATCACTGTAACGAGGTGTTCCAGATGTTTCAGTTTGTCATGGGTAATACAGGCTACCACGCATGCATATAGATCAGGTGCTGTGTCACCCAGTCTTACAGCAACGTCTAAAGACTTGGAGAATAGAATGTAACTGTAAGATAGGGAAGCCAAATACAAAAAGTTATCACCAGTTTCCATGTCCTTTCGCAGGACAGTATCGACAATGTCATCATTAATCTCTGTCCATAGTAGAGAGGCAATCCTTTCATCCCGGAGAACGGGGTGTTTTACTGTCCAGATGAAGCATCCTTGTCGAATACCTTCTGCAAGTCTGTTCACTACTGTTGGGTGTAGCTGGGGGGTGATGGAGATCAGGTTTGTGACATCATCAATGTCTGATGACTGTGGACTAATACCTAGTCTCACTCGTTCATACAAGAACTTCAGTGAGCAGTGTTCCAGCAGCAACACGATATTGAGATGTCCTACAGCACAGGCTGCAGCATCGTATATGGAGGGGTGGGAGAAAGATGCTATGTGATCCTCGACTGTACAGTAGATCCCAGTAAAGTTGTTGATCTCCTTGGCAATGCCTGTCCTTGTACAGCAAGGAACTACTTCCTTGACAGCGTCAAACATCACATGTCCAGCTTTCCGTGACTGCAAAGAAACAAGGTTCAGTTTTCCATCAGACAGGATGAGGATGATGATTGCTGCCGATCTATTGCTTTCTTCACGGACAATGGCGTCAAGGTCGCTTCTCAGGTAGGTCAGTGGATGGTTGAAGAATTCCAGGTTGTGCATCTGGAAAACATCATTGGTGAAAAACAGTTTGCTGATAAGAGGGAATCCAAATATGTTGTGTTTCGAATCTGTGATGATACACATATCCTTTTCAGAGATATCGCATGTAGGGTGTTTAGACTTGTAAGAACACAACACACGTTTCTTTTCTTCAGTCGTCAGACAGTCTTTTGCCATATCAAGAACAGCTTCTGTTGTGAGTAGATCCACTTTGTACTGATGTAGTCTGGAACATCCTTCCTTCCAGTTGTATGTCCTAGATGTGAACACAAGTTTTAGTCTGTAAACAGGGGGTTCATCTTTGGATTTGTCTTTCCCTTCTTCATCCTTCTTCTTCTTCTTTGAAACCTCAGTATCTGCAGCAGTTTTAGCACGATCATCATCCAAAGCACTAAACAGTTTATGTATTTTTTCCAAATTTAAACTGAATGTTACAGAGCCAAATATATCGTCAAAAACAACCAACATGTGTGACTGTCGTTTAGAAATTGTATCAACATTAAAGAGTTGAATGTCTTCCACAAACACTGTTTCGTATCCCTGTTGTTGATATTCCTCACAGATCATCAGAGCTATGCTGGTCTTCCCATCTCCTGGAGCTCCACAGATGCTGGCATGACCATACTTCTCAAGGAGTTGTTTGGCTGTCTGGAGGGCATGGATGTCAACAAAATACTTCTTTAGGTGTTCCAACTTGTGACAGAAACGTTCTGTGGGGAAATGGACATGAAATTGTCAGACAGTTAATGTGGTCGGTGTTTGGGTCTGATTCTGGCAATTGATACAAGTAAATGTGACATTTCCACCTTAAGCTCACTGCAGAGGATGAGAGTATCCTCTTACATCGGTCTACAACGAGAATACTCTAAATATTTGAAATCAACTGTACTTTGTTCAGGACATCCATCATGTCTTCTGAGCAATTATTTTCACGATAAAAGCTGAGACCAAATCTCCAGTCTTTTTGGGAAGATTGTTATGGCTTTTCTAATTAATAAAAGCTTAGTCCCAGGGACC